CAACTATATTACGCGATCAATTACTGTCCCCTTTCTTTTTTCATACAGTCGGCAGGTTCTTAATTAAAATAGCTCCAAGTGAAAAATATCTGTACTTTGTCAAGGTTTTGGATTTCTGCGAATTTCTTTCCTTTCTTATCTTTCTTTGCTAAAAGGGTCGTGTACTTTTCCTTCGTTTGTTTTCTGTTCCATTTGTTTCTTATTTTTTTTTGCTTCTTTCGTTCGAGGGTATGGTTAATTCCCCCCTCCTATCTTTATTTTCGAATACACACACTCATGTTGATAGTTGAGGATGTTGTTAGGATAACTGATTATCGAGCGCTACCTAGCTGCTTTTCCGGCTGTTTTTCCTCGAAATCCCCTGGATTTATCGATATGTCGCGTTTTATTTAGTAATCTCGTGTTGCCTGTGGACGATTCGATCTCTTTATTGCTCTGGAATTTCTTGAAGTAGCGGAAATAGGAAGAAAGTTCTGTTTTCTTTTTTTGAGTTATTAGTTCTACTTTGTAACGTAAATTTGTGAAAATGAAAATTTGACTTTCAAGGCGGTGCATGAAATCTATTTTTCGCGCTCTTAAAATGGAAATTAGGAAATTCGGTACTGGAAAATCGGGATATGGGAAACTAGAATGTTCTCCACTTTACAATTCCTACTTTTCCCTGTTTTCCAATTTTTCATTTTTAAAACTCCTAATTGCTAACTTTCTTAATTTTCCTCGTGCTAGTTTCCCATTTTCCTAATTTTCTAAATCTAATTGCTAATTTTCGTAACTTCCCAATTTCCAATTTTTCTCATATTCCAGTTACTCGTTATCCTAATTTTCCTAATTTCCTAGCGTCGGGTATCACAATTTCCCATTTTCCCAATTAGTCATTCCTCGACTTTTCAAGTCTCCGAATTTTCCACTCACCAACTCCCCGATTTCTCTTTTCAACTTTCTCAATCAATCTCTAATAATCTGTGTGGTATTTTTCATCACCTCCGCTCGAGAAATTTTAATTACACGAAAACTCTTCAATCAAACCTTGATTACAAATTCCCAAAGTAATTTACGGTTTCGAGCGACAAATTTTATTCCGAACACACAAGCTCACTAAACACTGCACTACAACGCTGTAAATAATTACTCGATATAATTGTCAGAAATTTCAATCCTACCGTAAATCCAACAAACATAATTCCAGAGCAAAAAAAAAAGGGGTTGAACGAGACATTCAACGGTAACATCGCTCAGAAGATTTTCCTGACTTCTTCGCACCGTCTCTCTCGTCGAAACCGTTTCGAGTCAACCCTTAAAAAAAAAAAACAAACTCTTTCTCCTCTATCAATCTTATCAAATACTTCTTTCACCTGATAGAACCACAACTTAAATTATCCACATTTCCCAGGGAAACGAAATTTCACCCTCAACCAACCAAGTGCAAACAACCAAGAATACTCTACCAAACAGGGGAAAAGAAGAAAGAAGAAAAGAAGAAGAAACAGCGGAAAATCCTGATTTCACCGGATAATATTCTCTTTAAGGGTTGACCGAGGGAGTTCAAACAACGTAGATCGTGTCACCGAGATCAGATCAGGGAAATCTTCCTCCCTCACTCTCTCTCTCTCTCTCCTCTTCTTCTCTTCGTTAAAACACAGTGTCACAGTGGCTTTTAACGGCGTCCCTTACAAGCCAACGTTGCCTCGATGACTCGAGCGCAAATGAAAGCCGGGAGGGGCTGTGCAGAACGGAAAGGAAAACGCAAAAGGAGACTCGGAAGAAGGGAGAAGTTCATTTACACGTTCGTTCCTGCACGTACAATGACAGTTATAATAATAATAATAATAATCGTTCTTAGCCGTTGGTACTCGTGGCGCAGCGAGACTTTTCCTCTCTGTTCTTTTCCATTTTCTCTCTTTCTTTCACTCTCTGTACACATGTACACTCATGCACACATGCAGAAAAATTTCTCTTGCTCTTTTCCACCTCTTTCTCCGTTCTCTTCTGTTTTACCCGTTCGGTGCCGCGGAACTTTAATTAAAACGCGTATAATTACAGCTGAAATGTTCCTGTTCCGAGCAAATACACGTTTCGTTCGACCTGGAGAACAGCGCACACTACTCTGAACATGGCGAACGCGTTGCGGATCTAAATAAGTGCTATAAGTTTCTCTCTCTCTCTCTCTCTCGCTCTCTCTTTCTCTCTCACTTTCTCTCTTTTCTTCGTTCGTTTCGTTCTCTTTCTCCGCTCGTTCAAACACGTGGGCTAACAGTCATCACTCGAAACGCACACAGTATTGGCCCCAGCACCCTTGGTTTTGTTTTCTTCTTTTTTCTTTTTTTAGCTTTTTCTCTTCGTTTTTCTTCTTCTCATTTCACATTGGCTTCTCTAAATCGGTTTCTCTCTCTCTCTCTCTCTCCTGTACTCGATACCTGACACGTTCAGGGAGGTTCTCCATCGATGGGGATTAGCGAGAATCGCAAAATGTATTTTCCTTTTTCCCGAAGTATACTTGAATTTATTGCGACAAGTTATACCACTTTCACTGAAATTCGCTCCAGGAAAATTTTGCGGTAGCAACAGCTCACACATGTTTCGTTGAAACAACTTACACACCTTATCGAATAAAAGAGTGATTGCGTTGATAGATTAAATGTTCTCGACGAATCCTCCGGGCAACTCGAGACATTTCGGATAAGGTCCAAAAAATCAAACTACATATTGAAGAAATAATAAAATAAAATCGATATATTTACCCAACACCGTAGGCAAAGCAAACAAAAGGAAAAACCTCCTAGCGCCCAAGATCCAGCCAGCAAAAGGGTACACACTCGCCTAACAGAAGGCAACACTTGTAGAAGCAGCTACTCCGGTAAAACCAAGCCTCCTTAAGTGAATTTCATACGTATGTACATGTACACCTGTGTTCAGCCAACGATCCGCCATGTTCTCCTAGCGACGATTACAGATTCTTCCAGGTGTAACAGCTTCGCAGCGACACGTTTCCCTTTCATTATTCTGCACAACTATCATCCACGATCATTTATCCACTATTCTGCTTGATTAGTAGGTTACTTTCTCGAGCCTCACGTTTTCCGGGACACATTCGTTAAATTGTCCCTTAGCAATTTATATATGCATGTATATATATATACACACCTTGTATTTATGTATACACACATATTTATATTTATATTTATATTTGTATTTATATTTATATATTTATGTTTGTGTAGGTGACTACACGGCCGTCCCGTGGCCTGGTTTCTTCACTCAGTGGTATCACCTCGCGACGTACCTGCCGAACAGGATGCCAAGCACCGCCAGGATGTATACCGAGGCGGAAATCCGGAAGGTCCACGACGTGGCCGTCGAGATGTCGCCACATTGCGCTGGAAAAACGATGCCAGGGTTACTTTTGGCCGACTGTGACGTAAGATAGGGTTGAAGGGATGCAAAGTGTTTCATTTTTGGAGGTGATCTGATTTTAGAGAAATGGCTCTGGAGAGAAGAAAATTGTGGTACTTGAGTAACGGTAGTAAGTTTTCTCGTCCAATTGTATAGCTCTGTAACTTTTCCAATCTTCCAACATTTCTCATTTTTCTATTTCATTAATTTTGGTTTTCTACGTTTTCAAGTACAATATTTTTCCATTCCTTCCTTTGTCCACTTTCCTAATTTCCCAATTTTCCCAATTTACCAATTTTCCAATTTCCCAATTTTTTCCAATTACCCAATTTACAAATTTTCCCATTCTGCTCACCGCACAATTTCCCAATTTCCCCATTTATCAACTCTTCAATGCCTAAATCTCCCACATTTGCAATCGCTCAATTTTCCCATTTTCCTAATGTTCCGAAATCCCTGTTTCTCTATCCTACATCGTACCAAATCACTCGACCAGTCCTAATTGATATCAACCTAAGATGAAGCAGATTAGCCAATTAATCAACAGCTAGAGTGGTCGAACGATCCGGACAGTTCGCGTCATCGACGAGTCGCTTCCCCTCCAGCCATGATAATCGGAAATGTCGTGGACAATGCTCACCGTACGACGTGAGGTTGACCTGCCACGATACTAGATGACGATGAGCAGCCCTTGGACAGGAAGCAAGATGACCCGTCACCGAGAGCTCACGACTTCCTGTCGCCGCGGCGGATGCACTGTAGACGAGACAGTACCGGCCCACATCCGTGCTCGCGACCAAGTAGGCTGTGTCGTTCTCGATCCAGGTTCCGTGGCACCAATACTCTGGAAACAAGCCATTTTGCTAGTCACAGTTTTTTTTACGTAGCCAGAGACAAGTGACATTTAAGTACGACGTATTTTGTTAGTGTAACAGTTGAGGAATCTTGGGAAATCGTGAAATTAGGACTTTTCAGCTTTATGCAAATTTTCCTATTTTCCTAATTTTCAATTCTCCAAATTTTCCGGACCTTCAGTGTCCAATTGTCCTAATTCTCCCATTTTCCTTGGTTTCCTATTTCCAATTTTCCCAAATTTCCTGTTATCCAATTTTCCCAATATTTCCAACCTCCAACGCTCCTCACTTTCTTCATCATCAACTTCCACTTTTTCCAATTTTTCCAATTCTCCCCAATGTTCCAAATTTTCCAGTTTTCCAACACTTGAATTTTTCATTTTCTTTCTACAACATGGCACATCAACTCTCGCTAGACCATATCGTTCCAAATCATCTTGTAACCACAGTCACACGAAAAAAAGAAAGAATACTATCGACACACTGTGATCCTCCTCTAAACGACATTACATTTTTCCCTTTAACTCATTTCTCACTAAACTTCACGATTCTCTGTCGCCTGCTTGAAAATATTTCATTAACTCCCCGTTAAGTCTCAATTCCCGCTCACAAAGGCGCCATTATTCCACGTAAATCTCTGTCAAAGGAACACATTGTACATTTAATTGTGCCTGGACGACACCGGGAAGAGGTACGATGAATAACGCTCGTTCCTCCAATTGAGAGAGCATGGAAATATTACGCGAGCGCGGTAATGTGACCTCATTATCGGGAATCGAAGTATAAAAGCACGATTTCCGAGTAGTTTATCGGTCTTTTTGTCAAGAGAGAGAGAGAGAGAGAGAGAGAGAGAAGAGGAAGAGAAAAAATTCCCCGTAGCAACGGAGAAACGTTTATCGTTCTAACGAAAGTACTGAATGGGTAATCATCCATGCAACGATTTTAAGTGTTCGATTTCGTTCACCTTAAGGGTCGTTTCACGACCGAGTTACAGGCTAACTCGAACGAGGAATGAGGGACGAGGCGGTTCGGTAGGGATGGGATTGGGGAGGGAAACGTAAAAATGGGAGCAATTGAAACGAGGAAGCGTGAAAGAAGGAACCCGGTTATACGTTCTACCGTGAAAGAGAATTAAATTATACCGGTGGACGCGAGCTAAGAACGCTCGATTATGATCAACTATGCGCAATTAGAATTCCTTCGGTTATTAAATTTTTTTCAGAGCTTCCCAGGCGAATAGAGGCAGCCGCGTCTCTCGTGGAAATTCGATGTCCTTGTCAGGGCTATCAATCTCGGTTCTAAAGCATACCAGTCGTCGTTACTTTTGGAACAGACCACGTACAATATATGGAGAGTGTCTGGCAAATGAAGTTGTCGAGAAAATTTTCTTACAAAAGTTGTAAGAACTTCTTACAGTAATATGGCATAAATAGTTTTTTTCACTGTTGAAATAGTGGGGCAGATCTCAAGGTCAAGCTTCTTTACTTTTTAATTTATTTATTTATTCATTCATTTAATTATTTATACGGGAAAAAATGAAACGTTATGGAAAATCATCGAAAATTACAGTATTTCACTAATTTCAACTGATGCGTTCATCTGATATATAAGGGGTGCTTTCACTTTAAAGAACCAACAAGTAGCATGAGAGAAAAACATTGCACAAATCTGCTATGTTTAAAAAAATAATGGGAATTTTTCGGTTATCGATGTTCCTCTGTAAGTATTATAATTGGAGAGATGTACGATGATTACTCTGACGATAAATTACCTTACCAAACATTCCCACCAACTGTTAATTAGGTAAATATTAATTACCAGTAGAACGATAATTAACCGAATACCAGGACCTATGCAAACAGCAGTCCCCCAAATATTCTCTCTAAAAGCATTTCGATTCGTAGAAATTGACGGAATACTCGGAATTGTTTCAGTTTGCCTCGAATTAACTTCAAACCTGTCGAATCGTTTCAACTAATCCTTGAAAAATGGCTCACCTGCATAGATATCCTCAAGAGATAGAGAGAGAGAGAGAGGGGAAGAGAAAGAGGAGCTTTTAGAGAGAGTCGACTGCGTAGCTTCGAGATCGAAGGAGAACGAAATAAACGAAAGCCGTAAATCGCTTCGACACGTCGATATCTGGCGTGTTGTCTCGACTCGATACCTTATCGGGGCTGCAAGATAGAAGGATGAGAATTTACAGCGTCCGCGCGACAGTTCGCCGACTGAAAAAGCAGGAATAAACAACGAAAATTCAGTGACAGAAAGGAGCCGTGTCTTTTGCGTAAATATGCTCTCGAAAAAGGGGGAAAATCAAAGGCGGAAGTCGAAGCACGATCGGTAAATGGTGAATAAATCTTTCGTTCGATTATCACTTTGTGAGATGATTCTCTCCGACGAACGAGCAATAAATAGAACGATTTCTTTCGAGGATGAAACAGGTGAGATGTGTTTCGAATGAAAGTTGATTCGTTGAAAGAAAATATACGTACTTCCACAGCACAAAAACGAATATTGAAATATTTGTATAATTTCTGTTGAAATGGGACCAATTTTTAAGACAGAAGGAGCTTGGGATCCAACAGAACAGTGTAGTATGTGTTACATTCGTGAATGAAATACGTGAAGTATATTTCAAAGAAAAATATAAGCAATTCAAAATATCTTTACAATTTCTGTTGAAATGGAAAAAAAATTCTCGAGACAAAAGCAGCTGGAAATTTTACCCAAAAATAGACCCAGGAGATAGAGGAGATTGTGCTTTTGATAACGCATTTTATTTGAGCACGATAGCTCAATTGGTTCCTGAGATACGTTCTCTCAAAGATTAAGATACAGAGGGATTCTCAATGACACCGTGACTCACGCTTTTCCTAGAAGCGCGTATGTTAGTACCACGAATACTAGAAAAAGCTTGTCTCTTGACGTCTCTCATTGGCCAGCGAACGAATGGTGGGGGTAGTACGACTTAACGCGTGAGTGCGAGTGAGAGGTCCGAGTGTGCGAGTGAGAAGCAAATAGCGAAACATTAAAAATTACGTTCCTCTTCAGACGATGATATCTCGAGAACCGGAAGTCGTATCGACAAGAAGTAAAATGCATTTTAAAGGGGAAGCTTCTCCGCTTCCTATAGAGTCACAAGTAGCTCCTAATGAAGCTGCGTTCCTGTGCTACGGTGCGCAGAAAAATGGCATATTTTAACGATACCTGAGGGCTTCGATGCTCCAATAAATTCCAGTGAAGCGAATATAAATGTTTAAAAAATTAACAACAATAGTTTATCAACTACAGAAATGGCAATTTAGAGGAAAGATCAAACTAATCAAACTCAAACATCCCTAGAGTGACTTGAAAAAATTCAATCTTCGCTCATCTCTGTAAGTGGATAAACCAAGGGGGAGAAACGCGAAAGATCATCGCGTCAGATTAGTATCGTGGCTCGTAATCCACAAAAACACGAGTAACGGAAAGGGGGGAATGGGTTCGGTTGCAGCGCGTTCCCGTAATCGGAATTATTTTAGCGGGGAACGTTGGGCGTTGACATAACCGAGGATTTAACCGGTCGAGCCTCGTGTCTTACGGCTGTCGACAAGGGGATTGCGTTCCTAGGCTGCAGCCTCTTCTCCCTTCTGTCAGCGAGGAGAACGCGAATTGGTCATTAAGACTTCGTACAAACACCGATCTTAGCTCTAGACCGGAGAGAACATCTCGAAACGTCACGAGCCGGCTTGAGACAGCGATCGTTAATCACATCCACTTGTCCGTGGTGGGATTAGAATCGCGTCAGGGGAAGCCGCGTTAGATGTGCTTTTCGGGAAAAGGTGTGATAGTTGGATCTGGGATGGTCTTCTTCCTTTCATTGATTTTTCTTCTTTGATTGATACGGTCCAATCATAGGATGCGGTAGGAAGGAGCGAAGAGAAAATAAAAAGTGAGGTAAAATAGGGCAATAGCGAAAAATTAGGGTGCTGTATGTGGGGCGGTCTAGCGCAGCGGTAGCTAGACAAAAGCTACCGAAAGACGACGGCTGTCGTGTGAGAGCGGTGTGTCGGTGAGGCGCGAGACGAGCGAAAGGGGCAGTCGTTAAGTAGCCACCGAGTCGTTTGTATCTATCATTTTGTTTTTTCTATTTTCTTTATCAAATCTTACAACGTTGAACCGTTGTTGCTCCCTTCTCCCTGTTCACATCTTACATGTATGAGGTAGTGGTGTTAAATTAGGGTACAACGCAGAAATGATGTACAAGAAATGGTGGAATTTTTTGATGCAATGGGAGCAATGATAAGAAACTTAGTTGAGATCAATTATTAAGCAATAATTTCTGAGGCGAAGGATAGCAATCTACTCCTCACTATTTGATCCTTGGTTGGAACAATATTACGTATGATAACCCAAAACAAATGTCAAAATACAACCCAATAAAATACACCACTGCATCACATGTTTTCTACTATACGAGCTGTCTAAAGCAAAAGTGGTATAAGTCAATTTTTTTTTTTTGCCTTTTTGAGTTAACACCACATCACGAAAGACTAACCTTCCTTCTGTTTTGAGCAGGAGTGGTGTAAGGATATCTTCATTAGTTCCTCGGTGGACGGCAAAATAAGTAAGAACCAGCCACTCGAATGGCATGGACGCTATATGCAGGAACGGAGTAAGTCAGTCTTTGGGGTGAGATAAATGACATTGGACTTGTGGATTTCGAAGAAGAAGAGAGCGATGAATAAGAGTTTCTGTGTCACGATCATTATTATTTTTCATATTCATGACAATGTAAACCACATTTTACACATTTTATTCATTCTTTTTAAATAATTTGTTTGGTAATTAATAAAGCAGTAGAAACATAATGTCTACCTCAACATAGAGATCCCTTTTTAATTACATCTAATAATAATTACCTTCCCGGTTTGCACGAAAATGGTGTAAATCAGAAGAATATTGAATAAAATGATTATACATATATCTTAATATTCGGGGCAAAATGGCATTATTAGCTTAAGCTATAACTATACAGAGGCTTACATAAAACAGATTCTGAATTTTACAGAATTTTTACTTTAACATTCATTATCCAGAAATCGCCTTTTTCGACTTACACCACTTTTGCCTTAAACGACTCAAATCTACTTTCCTATTAGCCACAGACCATCCTATCGTCAAATCTACAAATCCGAAGAACTATATCTACCTCCCTATTAGCCACGGACCATTTCATCCTCGTAAGGACAACACCCAACCTGAAAATTTCTTTTCGATCAGCTTCGAACGGTTGGCAAACGACGTGCCAGTACCAGTACCAAGTCATTGCTCCAAAATATCTGCCGCAAACGAGCCTATCGAGAAGCAACCCTCATTCACGAATCCCGGCAACCCTCGAACGCTTACACCTATCTTTCAACGCGAGCGGATCCTTCCGCCCAGGCACGCGCCATAAACACGTACAGCCGAATAAAGCTACAAACTTTGCACATAAGCAAGCGAGGAGCCACGGCAACCGTCACGCCGCTGACTCTCCGCAAACTAACTATCGTCACTTGCGATAACTTTCGCTGGGTGGAAAGGCGTGCAGAGAGGAAGAGGCTCGAGGTAAATGGGGGAGCGGTGGAGACGACGCGTCTTTCTCGATGGGGGGATAACACGGCCTGGTGAGGGTAATCCGATAAGATGTTCCAGTTGGGGCTGCTCCACCCTTCGAGGATTCACTCAACCCCCCCGCGACGCTGCAGCCTGCGCGTGTAGTCGAATTTCCAGGGGGAGGGTACAGGTAAGATGGATGACAAAAATGAAAAGACGTGAGCAGACGTGACACGACGTGACAAGTCGTGACACGACTGGTGGCCGTCCGCGCAGGGAGGCCCCGTCTCCTTAACGGGGGGCGGGGCAGGCCCAAGTATTTGTGCGGGCGGCCGGGGCCGCAGGGCTGCCGAGGGGGGACTCGACAGCCCATTGCACGCGGCCCGCGGTGGGGGCGTAGCCGACGTGGTCCCGGCGGCGCCTCGGAGTAGAGAGGAGGTCCTTTAGACCCCCTCCGGGATGGCGCCCCTCCCTCCTTGAACATCTCGAGGGAGGGGCCCGGCGTGGGGTGGGTCCGGTTGCGTTCGTTCGAGATCCCGGGCCCACCCCCGGAATGTCCAGGATGGCCACCGTGGGGTTTTAGCCGGTAAGAGACCGGCACTA